ACACACACACACACACACACACACACACACACACACACACACACACACACACACACACACACACGCATCACTTTGCAGTAAACCCCCATGGTGCACTGCAGAAAAGAGCCTGGGTCGAGTAGCAGTGAATAGAATGACAAGGCATTTGTACAAAGTGCTCCTGAGTCCCACTCGAGCTCTGTTTTATTCCAGTAAGGAGAACAACGTAGAGGTTGGGGGGGAGAAAAAAAAAACGTGCTTGGCTGTTCATTGAGACAGAGTCAGGCTAGGTTGTCTCATAAAAAGTGAACAACATTAACGGCATATTAATCGCAGTATAAATTAATCCCTACCCATCAATCCATTTTACGGGATATGCCTTTCCCCTGTTTGTGGTTGTGTGCATTAGAGCGCCTATTCCAGTTGACTCCACAATAGACTAATAAAGCACTCTGTCACAGGACCAACATGGATGAGGCAATGGAGGGAAATCACGCCCGCGCCAGTTGTATAAATGAAAGCCATGTCAGCAAGCACACTACTAAGACCCATCACCATGTTAATATTTCCATTCCCTTCCACACATTTCAAAAGAACACCGAACGGTTGTAAACTCCTCTATAATCAGCTCTTAGTCGTCAGACACTTGGCAATGTTTGTCTCAATAGTACTGTAATCAGGTGTATACCGGTGCATTGAAACCGTCACGGATGAGTCAAGATGACAGATGGAGGTGAGATAAAGAAAGTACTGTGTCGGATCAAATGGTGGAAGTAAAAAAAAAGAAGACTGCAGTGAGGATTTCAACAAGAAGTTGAGGAAATCTCTAGGTTGCCTTAAGGAACTGGAGGATGATTGGGTTGATACAGCAACAATGATTAGGGAGACAGGCCGGAGGGTGGTTGGTGTTTGTTCCATGCAGAAAAAGGAAGATACAAGAATTTGGCTGGCGAACAAGCAGATTTAGGGAACCAAAGGTGGAACAGTGAGAGAACTGAAGACAGCCGGCAGTAGTATGAGGAGAGGACACTGGAGGTCAAGAGGGAGCTGGAAATTGTCAAGAAGAGGTTGGCTAGAAAGGGACAAAGTAGTTGGACCGTTTGTCCGGCCAGAGCGACCGAGCTGCGAAGAATTTGCAGCAGTTTAGGGCGATTAAAGACAGAGATTGAAATCTACTGACGAGTGTGGAAGGGGTGCTGAGTAAATTGAATGAATAGGTTGAGGAGATGATGAATAGGAAAAATTAAAGGCGCAGGAGGACAGAGGCGGTAGAAACTGTGAAACAGAAGGTAAACCCGATTAGAAAGGATGACATGTGGAAATCTCCAAAGAGGATGAAGAAAGGCTATTCGTTCTGATCAGATACTGGTGATGACATGGAAGTGCCTAGGGGAGATGACAATGGATGTTTTGACAAGATGGTTTAACTGGATGTTACAGAATGACAATATGCCTGAGGAGCAGAAAAAAAAGAATGTTGGTTCCAATTTTTAAGAGCAACTATAACATGCACTATTATAGCAAATAAAAAGGAATTTGGTGATACTGTACATACAATGAAACTTGGGAAAAAGTAGTGGAGACCAGGAAATGGATATTTGTGAGCAGCAGTATGGTTTCATGCCTAGAAACAGCACCACAAGTAACTGAGAATGCTGATGGGGAAGTACGGGCAAAGTAAGAAGCGGCTGCATTATGTCTACATGGATTTAGAAAAAAAAATTGGTAGCCAATGTAGGAGCAGTGGTACTGTATGAGGAAATCTGGAGTGGCAGAGAAGGATGTTTGACTAGTCCGGGACATGAATGAGACCAGCAGGACTGCGGTGAGATGTGTTGCTGGAGTGACAGAAGACTTCAAGGTGGAGCTGCTGTGAATACCTATTTTTTGCTATGGTGTTGGGCAGATGAGGTCAGGCAGGAGTCATCAGCAGTCCATCCATCCATCCATCCATCTGTCTTCTTTACCCCTTGTGCTCATGAGGGTTGCCGGTGAGCTGGAGCACAACCCGGCTGACTGTGGGGAGTAGGTGGGGAACACCCTGAACTTGTCGGCAGCCAATTGCGGGACACATACAGTACAAACAACTCGTGTTGTCGTTCTTGAGACAACTTTTTAAGGGTCTCTATCTCAACTCGAAGGCATTTTTACTCTGTCTTGTCTCGGACAGGGTGGAGTTGGCATTTTTTGATCAAGACCAGTCGAGACCAGGCCAGTAGGACTGTGATCAGTGAGAAATGCAGACTGCAGGTGCTGCTTTGCCTTCCCAGTGTCGACTGGAGTGCCACGCCCTCTGCACAGAGAGAGTGGATGAAGACACAGCACTCCCACTAAATTTGAAAAAAAAAAACTCACCAGCAATTAAGTTTGGTTTCCAAAACCCTCAGGGTTTTGTTCGCCAAGCCACATGTGAGCAGAAACACTTTGCAACATTTCAAATTCTGTGATGCACTGCTTCGAGAAACCGCTGGCACAAAGTCTAACTTTCATCAGCAAATTGTGAGGATGCACCTTGTCAGGATAATTTAGTTTTAATGAATGTGATTGCATAATTTGTAGAACTGAGAAAACAAATTTGCTCAGATTTGAGGTGTGTTTCATTCTACTGTTTCTAAAACATCATAGTAGGATTTGTTTTTGTTGCAAACGTAATGAAAAAAAATATACTAGTGATTTCTTTTTTTTTTTTGGTGATTTTTCTTTGTTATATACAGTCTTGGTCTTGTCTCTTTCTCGGCCACCAAAAGTCTTGGTCTTGTCTTGTTTGTTTACACTATGGTCTATCAATCAACGCATTCACTGATCATTCAATCAATGAGTCAATCAAACAAACAATAAAATGTTAAGTAAGCATGCATGTTGCTTATGCAAATGTTTTACGATTCCGGAAATGTTCATATTCCCACATTTTATCGAAAGCGTTTCCAATCTATATTTGTGTTCAACTTTTTTTTTCCCCCTTACTCGCCATATGAAGTTTGACCCAGCACACATCAAATCTGAATCAGTCACAAATTGGCTAGATTTCAAAATATCAGAATGAAAGTGATTCATTTATTGTCCACATATTTTCTTCAAGTCGTAAGACCCCACAAGAGACAAAGCCGTATCTCTTTTTTTACAGAGGTCGTTTGTCTTTGAAGGGGTGATTGAGTGGATGAGGAGGTGACATATGTGCTGACATCGTATTCGTTCATCAGCTGTCCCCTATGGGACAGAAATACCGCTTCAGTCCACAAGTGCGGCCGTTCCGCACGTATGCGTCAGGCTGGCGAAACAGGGCTATGTAACGAGAGATGAGAGGTGCTGCGCTCAACAAATGCGCCTCAAGGTGGCTGTCTGTAGAAATGCATTTCCGACCATTATACGGTAAGTGCCCGACGACGGATTTATTGTATACTCCGATTCTCTGCAGATGCTGCAAGGTTGAGAACAGGGGAGGGGAAACAGGTGGTTAAAAGAGATAGAACTTCATCTTTGCATCTTTTCTCCTCTTTGTGGTGAGACGGCAGGGAGGGGAACTTGTGGCATTTCCTGATTAGCAAAGTCCTCCAGGAAGTATTCGCCGAGGATAATGAGGTTTCCTAGGCAGGCTGGGGATCAAAGTGGATATAGACCGCAGCAGGAGGCTACTCTGCAAGACGGCCGATAAAATGATTATTTTAACATTCCTCTTTATACAGTATGCAGCCTACACTTGTCCTCGTGGGCTTCATAAATCCAGTGCATAGACAGTGTCGCATAGGTGTCAAACTCAGGTCCTTGAGGGCCACTTTCCCCCATGTTTTCCGTGTCACCCTGCTGAAACAGACCTGATTAAACGATCAACTCATAAGCAAGCTCATCAGGAGCCTGATAACGATCCTGATTATTTGAATCAGTGGGGAGAAGTGGAAAACATGCAGGAAGGCGTCCTTTGAGGACCGGAGTTTGACACCTGTGTATGAGGGGATTTGCTCCGCTTGCGCGTGACAATGTGAAAAGTCTCAGAAGAGATGTCTCCATGGCAGGAGAAGTTGAAGGTGCAAAAAAGTCAAATCAATCAGTGGTTGTGGGATGTAAATGAATAAATAAATGAAGTAATAAAGTCCGAATTCAGCCAAATAATTGCATTTTTTTGCAGCTTTTCGAGATCTTTTGGTTGACTTCATTTTGTCAGATAAGTTCTATTTAAGTAATCGCTTGATTGAACAGGTCCAGAGTTTGGGTGTGATCAGTGAAAATAAACAAAAAAAAATTCATGATAGCTTTGAATTTTTTTTTCCTTAATAAATAAAATCACCATTAGAAAATGCATTTTATGTTTATTTGGGTAACCTTTGTCTGATATTGACAAGTGTTTGATGATTTTAAACATTAAAATGAGAACACTATGTAAGAAAATTTGAGAAGAGGGCAAAAACGTTTTCAACATTTGGATTTATCCCCGGTGCAGATTGGAAACACATTTCCTGAAAACTGATTCTACAATTTTATATGCTACTTGTCACCGGGAGGTTCACGTTGCTTGCCACTGTATGCATCCATCAAGATGTGCAAACACTGTACTGAGTGATGACGCATCGAATGAGTGGAATATCGCGCACTTGGTAATTTCATGAACACTGACTGAAACAGTAATGGTGAGAAAAAGAAAAACACAAAACAAGCACAGATATGTGATCCCTTTAGATCCAGCTTGAGCGCTTTCATTCATCCAATTGCACACATGGATGCTATGTGCAAACACAGCAGTGCACACAGTACTTAATCGTCCCGGTTGAAGATAATGTGATTACATTTTTGGATAATTTTCCACTAAATGTCCGCAAAATCGGCCCGGTGGTTTAGTGGTTAGAACGTCGAAATCACAGTGCAGAGGTATCAGGTTCAATTCCACCTCCGGCTTCTCTGTGTGGAGTTCGCATTTTCTCCCCGGGCCTGCGTGGGATTTCTCCAGGTACTGCGGTTTCCTCCCACATTCCAAAAACATGCATGGCAGGCTTATTGAACACTCCAAACTGTCCCTCGGTGTGAGTGTGAGCGCGGATGGGTGTTCGTCTCTGTGTGCGCTGCGATTGGCTGGCAACCGGTTCAGAGTGTCCCCCGCCTACTGCCCGAAGACGGCTGGGGTAGGCTCCAGCACCCCCCGCGACCCTTGTGAGGATTAAGCGGATCAGAAAATGGATGGACGGATGTCCCCAAAATGTGACGTGGCTTACACAGGATTTGCTTCAGAAACAACGCTGGCAAAACGTTTGGCGCATTACATCTTTATCGCCTTGGCGCACTGTGTAAATATTAACAGTAACTGACTGAGACCTAAACTGCACAACCCCGCACGTGAAGTTGTACAATGACATTGTACCAAATGACAGATGCTCTTTGTGACGTGGTTTGCACTGATTTTCTTGCTATTTACCGGAGGTGGGCGCGTCAGTAAATGTTCCGTCATTCGTCACTGGCCAGCGGCCAGGCCACCCGTCCTTCATCATCAGTCCATTGTTATTTCAAGCCGAATCTGTCACCGTCAGTGCGTCGTTCCATCATTTTTTTAACTGCACTTCCGTCATTGCTAAGTTACAGTTCCTCACCACTACTTTAGGACCTTCAGATCTTTCTTCTTGGCGGCGTAGCTTAGGCGGCATCGAGAACATGTCACACGCAGGCGCAACACAGGAGACCCAAAGCCAAAATAAAGTTTTACTGAAAACAGACACACACAGTGTGGTGATTGGGTAATAAAAACAATATGGGACGATGTCATTGCAACCTGTGGGATTGAAATGTACCAACAACAAAGCCAATTTCCTTTACCTGCTGGGACGACCTAAAAAAGGCAAGTGAGGAACGAAAAAGATTTAGTTAGTCACTAACACAACCACAGGTAGGTCACCAGATTGACAAGTGATGTTCAAACATCTTGTTTTTGTTCTGTCAGAGGGCAAGGAGCCCCCTCCTCTGCTCCACTCAAAGCCCGGTGTATTCATCCCTGCATATAACACACACGTGTGTTTCCGTCAGTAATCGGCGTAACCGGAGTCCGTCAGTGACAGACTGAGAAGGTCCGTCACAACTGACCTGGTTAGTCACAATTCGGATGACGGATGTAAACCTGCGTCCGATGGTGTTTATCCCATCAGTTCTTCAAAATGTTCTGGCTTTTGTCATCTGCCAGCAAAATGGATGCCCGTTCTGAATACTGGTGGATGCCTGCCACTGTACTTAACAGTTTAATAGATGAAGTTTGCAAATAAGTGAATGTGAGGCTTTGTAAAGCTGGTCACCCACCATATGATGCAGATTCGCTGTTCTGTAAGTGCACTCCATTTACCATTTTAATCAAACTGGATTTTACATCTGTTGGACTATGATGTGTTTACACAAATGGTGAGTGGAGATCTTGGCTGAGAGTCCTTGCTCTCTCTCTCTCCCTCTGTCTTTTTTTTTTATACATATACATACTGGTACATACATACATACATACATACACAGATGTGTGTGCGTGTGTGTGTGTGCGTGTGTGTGTGAGAGAGTGTGAGTGAGTGTGTATGCGCGTGCGCAGGTAATGAATATGCCTCCTTTCTTGCTCGTGCTGGCCCGAGATCTCATCGTTATGCCTCGCCATGGTCGACTTTTGTTTTGCAAATGAACTATTTTTGATTGACTGTATGAAAAAAACAAACAAACAAATAACAGGCTTTCATTTTCTGGTTAGCAACATTAATTTCCTGCCATTTCTAACACGTATCACATTTCGTAAAATCTCTCCACTGGTGACAGACAATTTTGTCACACAGCTGGATTATTTGCTGATCTACTGTCTATGTGACTGTGCGTATACATTGGTAAAATCATTACCCTGTATTAAGTTCCTCTTCACATTTGTCGATTGAGTTGCTCAGTACTTTCACATTTGATCTAATCATCTATTCTTTTGCAGGCACTCACATTCTTTTACATGTACATTTAGTGAACACAGCACCGGCAGAGGCATGCTCCTTCTTTATTCTCACCATCGCGCATGCTCGCCTTCCTGCATTCAGCACAGGTTCTTAGATGTTCTTGTTACCTGCTTGCATCTTTCTCTCTGTTTTTCTCTCTCAGGCTCTTTCCTCAGGGAACACGTTACAGCCGATATCTCACAGATATGGACCGTTTATCAGAGGGGGGCAGTGATTTCCCTAATAGGGAGGGAAGGGATAAGCCTCATAGTGGTCTACTGTGGTAAGACAAGCTCGCAGAGGAGATTAAAAAATAAAAACGCATCGACGACATGGCCAAGAGCTTTGAGGTCGGCCGAATTGTAAGAATACAGGGGTTGATCTTTTTGAGCGTACATCCCTCGCTTCAAAGTCTAAAGGGGAGCAGGGTGGACTGTCAGTGAGATGATGTAACCATGGTAAGACAAGGGGTGATTATCCAAACACACAGAGAGAATAAAAGAGTAGGGAAACCTCTGAATTACTTAATTGAGGTGACAAGGATGAAAAGGAAAAGTGGATCTAATGAGGCATACTGTAAGTCAGATGGGGAAAGAAGAGGGCACAGGTTTGAGAGGTTGACAGGCTGTTCACAGTCAGTCGCTCCCTGTCTACAATTACATTTTCCCTTTTTAAAGCTCCCTTTCTTAGGATAGCCCCCTCCACCTCCCCCTTTCTCCCCCTTCACTGTCTCTCCCTCTCTCGCTGTGAAGCTCAGCAGCGCAATAGCGGAATGAATAATTGAGGAAGCCTGAATCGGGATTGAACATTTGTGTTGCGGTTTGTGTCTTTTGTGTCTGGTACGGCAGGCAAGCGTTCACAACAAAAAGCACAATCAAAATAAACCTCCCCACAAAAAAAAAAAAAAAACCTACTCATGTGTATCCTTGAAAACACACACCATCCGTGCAGTGAAAGCTGCATGCATCGGTGTGAGAATATCCTTGAAAACACACACCATCCGTGCAGTGAAAGCCGCCGAGCCATCCCCCTGCTGGGAGAGGACTCGGTGTGCTGAACTGAATATGTAATGCAACCAAGCAATAAAAAAAAAATATATCCACTATGAATATTCCTGAATGATTCCTTGTGCTGGAGGGAAACCTTTTGGGAATGAGGAGTTATCCGCTGGGAATAAAAAGAGCTCATTTGAAGGGTAAAAGTTGGAGATCTTTGTGAATGTTCGACGAATGGAAGGAAAAGACAAAAGTGGTGAAGTGGATGTGGGCGAGGGTGAGGCTGCGGTGAATGTGTGTGCAAAACAAGTCTGCTTGTGTGTGCGTGGACACAAACCAGGCCGAGTACCTGCCCGAGCGGCTCATGGGATGTGGAACACGAGGCGAACCGTTTTCTGTGTGTACGTTTGAAGGAGTGGGAGGCTGTAACTGCAGGGTGTTGCCGTGAGACGACAGAATGTGAAATGTCGTCTGCAAATGGGAGCGCGTTTACATGAAGTCCATGTTTCAGTTCTACCTTAATTGGCCCAAATCTGCCATTCAGGCAGGCAGCTTCATTGCCCTCCTCCATGTGGCCTCCTGGGAAAAAAGGTACAGAAGTGTCAAACCAAGGAGCCTCCTCCTCCTCCATATTCACATCTCTCTCTTTCTCTCTTGCTCTCTTTCTCACACACACAAACACATACACACTTATGCACGGACAAACCTGCCTTGCCTCCAGCTGGAAATCACACCAAAAAATGTGTAATTAGGTCAAGTTCATCGCTGCATATTTATAGTTATACAGAAACACATACACAGAGGGAGAAAGATTCAATTCATAGCTACGGGTGTTCCGATCGGGTTTTGTGAGTGTTATTGGCTGTATGAACTTCAGAAAGGGAACCATATACAGGTAATCAACTACATTTAGAGAAAAAGATATTTCTTTTTTTAAGTTCATACAAACGCAATTCCACGGGTTTTGTGAGTGCTATTGGCTGTATGAACTTCAGAAAGGGAACCATAGACAGGTAATCAACTACATTTAGAGTTATTTAAAGTTATTTCTTTTTTTAAGTTCATACAAACGCAATTCCAATGAAGTTTGGGACGTAAATAAAAACAAAACAATGATTTGCAAATCACGTCCAAACGATATTTAAATGCACACACTACAAAGACAAAATCTTTAAAGTTGAAACTGGTAAATGTTATTGTTTTTAGCAAATAATCCACTTAACTTTGAATTTTATGGATGCAACACATTCCCAAAAAGCTGAGACAGGCGGCAACAAAGACTGAGAAAGTTGAGGAATGCTCATCAAACACCTTTTTGGAGCAACAGGCAAACTGGGAAAAGGTGGGTGGCATGATTGGGTATAAAAGGAGCTTCCCTGAATTGCTCAATCGTTCACAAGCAAAGTTGGGGCGAGGCTCACCTCTTTGTGAACAACTGTGTGAGAAAACAGTTGAAGAGTTAATGGACAATGTTCCTCAACCTACAATTGCAAGGAATTTTGGGATTCCATCGTTGCCCGTGGCTCGTTTGAAGCAATATGCCTGTGCCATATAGGATTTGCCATTGTATTCGGCATAAAATCCAAAAGCAACATTTGTAAAAGTGATAAGTTAGAATAACATCATACAATCAAAAGCAATGATTCAGTGTTCATTCAGTGAGTTCCTGCTTAGTGAAACATCTCCAAGGAGAAAGTGAACGAGACATCTTTGAACATTCCCTTTGCCACACCCAATACGGCTGCAGCATCGACATACTCAATAAGGTGTCCATGCATATATATTGCAAATATTGTCTCTGATAATATTTGACAGTGATTGTCGCAAAGGGCGCCATTCATCACTACTAGGAATACATCTAAATACCGGAGCAAAGTAAGTGCTGTCTGCAGGGTGTTCATAATAATTGACTCCTCCCCAACCCCGTGCATTTCATGTGCCCCCTCAAGGCTCGGCTCTGGTGATAGGTCTCATTCGAACGACAGAATGTATTGTATCTACCGGGTAGTTAATTTTCACACTAAAAATGTCAGTGTTAGTATTTCCTGTTAGTATTCTTTAAGTTACAGAGATGCATTTTGGGTCTATACATATTTGAAAACGTCTCACTTCATGCTTCATTGGTGAAGGAAATCTGTATTGTAAGATAGATTTGATGTATAGGCAGCACGGTAGGATAATATTGAGTAATATATCTCTGCTTCACAGTCAGGATAGGTTGAAATGTCCACTGCGACATTTGTTTGCAGGATTTTTCTCCTGATACATCCCCAGATTCCTCCCACATCACCAAAACGTGCTACTTTGGGTAAAAAGGGGGATTCTAAATTTGGGTGTAAATGTGTGTGTGAATGCTTGTTTTTGTCCATATGGAACCCGTCCCTCCCCCAAAGTCAGCTGGGACAGATTCCAGCACACCCGCGACCCTCATGAGGACAAGTGGTAAAACTGGCAGATGGGTGGATACAGTTCTGTATACGCCTTCCCACAGGTGGTAAACCTTTAGTTTTCTTTCCAGAACAGAGGTACTCTGGTACAATGTGGGCAGCTAAATATGATGTAATTTGACAGCCAAGTTGATTACTGTTAGCAGTCAAATGCTGTGACCCCACAAGGAAGCTGTCAGACAACAAAATCTTTGGCCACTGTTACACAGTGATCATATGCTTTACTGCAACACATGAGTCGTACTTGGAAACCTGCCGTTTATCACACACACACACACACACACACACACACACACACACACACACACACACACACACACACACACACACACACACACACCGGTAGGATAATATTGAGTAATATATCTCTGCTTCACAGTCAGGATAGGTTGAAATGTCCACTGCGACATTTGTTTGCAGGATTTTTCTCCTGATACATCCCCAGATTCCTCCCACATCACCAAAACGTGCTACTTTGGGTTAAAAGGGGGATTCTAAATTTGGGGGTAAATGTGTGTGTGTGAATGCTTGTTTTTGTCCATATGGAACCCGTCCCTCCCCCAAAGTCAGCTGGGACAGATTCCAGCACACCCGCGACCCTCATGAGGACAAGTGGTAAAACTGGCAGATGGGTGGATACAGTTCTGTATACGCCTTCCCACAGGTGGTAAACCTTTAGTTTTCTTTCCAGAACAGAGGTACTCTGGTACAATGTGGGCAGCTAAATATGATGTAATTTGACAGCCAAGTTGATTACTCTTAGCAGTCAGATGCTGTGACCCCACAAGGAAGCTGTCAGACAACAAAATCTTTGGCCACTGTTACACAGTGATCATATGCTATACTGCAACACATGAGTCGTACTTGGAAACCTGCCATTTATCACAAACACACACACACACACACACACACACACACACACACACACACACACGCACGCACACACACACACACACACACACAACCGAGCTCGGAGTGAAAAGTTTACCGGTTGACTGCGATTCAATGTGAACCGATTCGTTTTACCAGTTCAAATCATAATTATTGTTACTACTGCACTTAACCCTTTCAGGGACAGTGGTTACTAGAGTGGGCAGCTATTCAAATATTTATTTTGTATTAATTCGTCTTAGTGTCACAGTTGTGCATCAACCACTACAATGGACCCTTATATGTTGTCCTCCACTGCCATTATTTGTTTTTCATGCCTAAAGACTAATAAATACACTTGAAAAATCCTGATGTAGGTTATCATTGTTTGTGCATGAAAGGGTTAATGTATCTGAAAATAGTAGCTTTATTATTTTTGTCTCCTCCCGTCCAGTTGCATGATGTGAATCAGAGAAGTAGAAGAAGCCGCAAGTCAGACAATGAAGAAAAAGAAAACATTAGGTGCATCTGGTGCAGTGGTCTAAAACAGGGCAGAAGGCAGCCAAGGTGCCGGTGATATTTCCCTCACCTGAGCGACAGAGTTGAATTAATGCTGAGAATCTAGCGCAAATCAACAACGCACCCACCGTGAAGCTGGCTGTTTCAAATCAGTGAAATGAATGGCTGATTTGTGCCCATTGTTAATGGTTGGACATACTTGTTTCAGTGGATCAAACTGGCCGGGAAATTGTTTGGATGAATACTATAAGCAGAATATTACAAAACTTAAATATCAGTTGCCATTACAGACACGAGATAATCAGACCTTTTCTTTAGCGCTGCACAACAGGGTTGCACGAAAATGATGGCTACCGGGGAGGAATGAGACAGGAAGAGAATCAATGTGATAATTCAGCAACTCGGAGAAAGTGAAGCTCACGATGACAAAACAGACAGGAGATGCAAACTGGGAGAGCAGACACAGAGCCCCGTCTTTAGGTATCAAGTGTGAGCTTCATTCTGTAAAGAGGAGCTTCAATCAAGAGATATGGGATGACAAAGCGGAGCGAAAGCAGGAGGGTAAAGCACCTCCACACAAGCCATTCTTGAAAGAAAATGATTGTTGCTCTCGCGCTTATACTTTGATGAAAGACTACCTTGTGACAGCCCACACGACTCCCATCAGTCACAATGATTTTTACAGCCAGATCTCTCCTTTTCAGTCGGTGCTGCGAGCAGTGACATTAAAGTTTATTGATTGTCAGAAGACTGCAGCTCTAGAGTAGAACAATGTTTTCCCGTGGATTTGCTTTAGTCTTCTCAACAACACCAAGTAAAAAATGCTGCATTTGCCCCGTTACTGGCAAACAGTTTCTTGATAAGTGGTTCCCAACAACCTGTTTGAGAAAAGGTTCAAACTTCTCACTCCGTTGTTGCATTACAAAATTAAATATCGATTTCTAGCATTTCTAGATTCACGATGCTTCTCCACATGCGGCAACTAATATATCAATAGAATATTAGCGACTTACATAGAGTGTAGTGTTACTTTATAAGTCGGCTGTGGCCTCCTACTCTCCTCTGATTCCGCTCTCTGATCATTCTTTTCTGTTCTCCTCGACCTCATTGAAGGTTTCGATTCCATCAATGGCTCTATCCTCCTCCGTCATCGAATTCCTTTGACGTCACCATTTCTGCACACTCTTGGTTCACATCATACCCGTTTTGACGGATTCCATTACATGGCCGTCAACAACAACAAATGCCACAGCACCCCAGTCTCACATGGAGACCTTCAAGGTTCAATACTTGGTCCCGTTGTCTTCATCCTGTACATTTTCGCACTCTGTCACATCATGCACCACAGCGACGTACACTTTCACTGCCATTCCATATACAGCTGTATATCTTCACCAAATCCCAAATCTCTACAATTCTCTTCCCCCTTCATCGACTGCCTCACGTTATAAAAGCAACAAAAACTCAACTACAATAAAATGGATGCATCATCTTCCGCTAAAAAAATCCCACCGTCCGGCCTCGCTCAACTTCTCATTCCTTGGTGGTCGTGATGGGTCCAGCAACACCGATGCGTCGAGGCACACGTCGAGCTCACAGAGCAATCCCCGCGTCGATGCGCGTACTGCTTCAAGACGATCACGTGACCAATACATGAACTGCGTCGACTCAGTCCAGTGGGCGTCGATGCCGCAAAAACCCGCCAAACTGTGTTTATAAGGAAGTGCGTCGAGTGACGCGATG